GGATGGAAAAAATTGAGCCTTGAGGATTTCACCACTTCAGCTGAAAATAATCATCTCTGAGGGGAGAATTTTTTTTTCCACCTGCATATATGGAAAACAATTAAAATTAATACTAAGGAGGTAAGAATACATTTCTGGCATACATCTTTAGGCAGATACAAATCTGTTTCATAAAAAAATTAGATTTTTAGTACAGAATATTTATGGCTATTGTCTTCAGTGTCACTCACAAGACAAGAACTGTTTGAAGCAATCTATTTTCTACAGTCTGCAATAATTACACATTGACTGATTTTTCCTTCAGACACTGTAATAGACTTTCCTAATACCTTCCCTTCAACACAGCACCTATATCACTTCCAAGGAAGCTGATTCAGTTGCCTGCAGTGAATCAAATGTCAAAAGATGCTTGTGTATAAATAAAAAATTATATACTCCTTGGAATCAGCAAGCCAGTTCTACTTGCAGAAGTGCAACTGCAACCTCAAAGGTTCACTTGCAAGCAGTAACTGAACAACTACAGTTCTGCTGGAATGTGTCACAGTAAGAATTGTTCAGATTACTCAGCTTGGTGATCTTCAGATAAGATGTCTCACACCCACCACTCGTCCATCCACATAATTTTCCACTTTCAGTGTGTAACCAGTCTGCTCTTCCTACCATCAGTTCCTACCAAGTTCCATAGCCCGTGCTATCTCATATCCTACTGGATGCTGAGTTAAATGTAATGCATCCTATAAAATTCCCATCCACATGGAAAAAAATTGTTTACTATATACACATCATTACTATAATTGTAAGCTATACATGCATTTGAACCCTAGAGACAGTGAAGTCAGGGTTCAAATGGTGCTGTCTAAGATGTTCATATTTGAGGACTTAAATGCTTCAGAGAGACATATAACAGTTTCTGAATAACTGGAGCACCTAATTCAAGCCACAATACAACCCGGTTTGAATTATTTTTATTTAAAATGTTTTTATATACAAAGCATCTCTAATTATCAGTGGAAAGAAAAGAATGGAAGATATATGCAGAATTAGATAAAGGTTTCTCCTCAGGTAAAAATCCAGCTGTGCTCTTAACCATACCAAAAGCCTTGGCTAGTAATGAGAAATATTAATGATGGTACAGAATGATGGTACAGAATAGGCAACACTGCCTGCTTTTCACCTGAGGGAAGTGAATCCTGTTTAGCTGTTAAACTGGACAAATCCTCCACTTCAGTCTGGTTTTGTGAAAGTGCCAAACTGAATATTCTTGGGTGGATTAAGCATACAGTATAAAGAAACAAACATTGTTCTTTTCAAAGTGTACCTATGTTGACCGTGGAAAGCCTGGATAAAGCAGCTTCTTGAAACACGGATCCTCACGAGAGGATTTAGGAACTTCTGGAGTCAAACCACTGGATTTCCAAAACTGTACCCCCCTGCCCAAGGAGACCCTCTCCCTGCTGTCCCTTGCATACTTGCGTGACTTGATTTCCTCCAGCTCCTTCGTGAGCTTCTCGTTCTTCTCCTGAGCTTCGTGTAATCTGCGCTTCAGGTCCCCGATCTCCTCCTGGGCCTCGGACTTGATATCGTTTGCAATCACCACTGCAGTCTGCAGGTCTGCCTGGAACTGGCGCCACTCTGCTGACTCCTCCTGCCAGCAAGAATTTTGAAGTTAGACATAAAAGTTACCCTTCATATTCATAGTTTTTCCTGTGCTGGAACAGGAAACAGTTTACAGGAATGACAAAGGTACTCATCTGGCATAACCGAAATTGCAACTTAAATTCAAGGAGTTTTGCTGGAAATAACTAGATTTGAGATCATGGATTTCTTTTCCAAAGCAGATAAAATGTTCGAAGTGGAGGTGGCAAAAAATTAATATTAAACTATGCATGGGAAGACACAAACATTTTCTCCTGAGCCTAATGCCATATCTTTGTGACAATGAGAATTTTTCTGAAGTTAATTGTTTAGTGTCTGTAGGTTAGTAAATATATTCCCCCGATACCTGTCTCTCAGAAATAATTATTTTAATGGTATTACATCTAATCATATTATCTTTTCACAATGTCACATGTGACATTCTAAGTTTACAATTTAGTGAGTTTATAGGTTTTAACCTACCCGCAGTCTCCTGTGAAGATTCTTTATCTCTCTTTCCATGTCATGCTTTTGGTCCTGAAGTTTTTTAACTGTATCTGGAAAGAAAGTCAAATTCTCTGTAAGACCTTAGTCAGGGACTATTTACTTTAAAAAAAGTAACTGACAAACCTGCAAATGCGTTTGAAACCTTACTCATTTTTATAACCAAAGCCATCTGGAGAAACACAGTAGAAGCAGAAGAAATAATTTGCCAGCGAGCGCTAATAGGTACATAATTCTCTGTCTGGTGAGGGGAACAGCATTAGCAAACTCAGTTCTTATACAAATCCCAATTCACAATATTGAAATGACACAGCAATAACAAAGAACAAATAAACCAGGAAAGCAATTTGACATGAAAGGATCCTGAAAACATGGATGTCTGGGGATTTTCCCTCCTCAAACAAGCTGAAGCTACACAAAGCCTGTTGATTCACAATTTACTCCCTGCCCAAAGCAGCTGACATAACACAGCCCTGCCTTCCATGGGGATAAAATTCTACTTATAACCCCAAGACTCTGACATTCTTGTCTACCAAGCTACTATTTGAGGGTGAAGCAAGCTATATTTAGAGCACAAGGCCTAACAGTCTGTGAGATCTGTTGGGAGAGAGATGGTCCCCTAAATCTGTCAGCAGCGACACAAAAGGGTTCACAGCCCCATCAGCACCAGCTCCCCTTGGCGTCTGACAGGCTGGCTACTGCAATTATTATTCATTTGGTACTTTAGTCAATACACAAGGACAATGTGATTGATTACTCCATTCTTAGAACTAAGCAACTAATGAGGAAGAACACAGCATAAATTTCTAATTAGCCTGTCACTTCACTGATCCTGGGATTCTAGGATGGTTTATTTCTATAGCATCGTGTAGTTGTTTCCAAACTGTAAAAACGATGGAGCAACTGATGAAATGCAGTTTTTCTTCAGGTTCATTATTCCAAGACCTGCTGGAAACAAATATTTTTCCTGTATATTAGCAATACTCTTTCCACAAGGTGACTGAAGATGCCTAATACATTTAAGCTCTTCAAAACAAAATCCTTCCCCAAGAGCCCCAAGTACAGAGGCTTTGAATGTCACAGTTAATTTCTTTACCAGAATGACATAAACCTCAGTTGGCCTAAAAACACGATAACCTTTCAGGCTTGGAAAAGTTGGAACACTAAAATTAGACAAGATATTTCTGTATTTATCTCCTCCTTATAAGACTGAACATTTTAAGATGCATCCAACTGATCTTTAAGCTTTGAAGATAAGCCTGACAGGGTGGGCCACCCAAATCTCATGCTACCATGATATTTAAGTAAAGCTCTACAATTTTTAGCTTGTC